GGCGGGGCGGGTGGGTGTACCGCGGGTCCGGGCGGCCCGTCGGAGGGAGGCGGGTCGGCCCCCGGGGCCCGGGGTCCGGGCGCCCCCAGGTGGCGGCTCCCCGCCCTCGTCAAAGCCCCGCCTGCGGAGCTCGGATTCGCGGGCCCTGGGGTACCTTTCCTCCCTCCGCACCTGACCAGGTGTCCCGCCGGCCACAGCCGCGCACCCCCATGCGCCCATCTTCCTATGCGCCTCTCTCCCTACCGCTCCCTCTCCTCTCCTCTCCTCATTCCCTTCTCTTCTCGCCTCGCCTGGTTCCCTCCGCCTCACCCCTTCACAATCTTTATCTTCACTTGAAAAGAAATTTAAATCTATTTTTATTGATTTCAGAGAGGAAGGGAGAGGGAGAGAGAGAGAGAAACATCCATGATGAGAGAGAATCATGGATCGGCTGCCTCCTGCACGGAGAGCGAGCCCCGAACCCAGGACCCTTCAGTTCGCAGGCTTAGACATCACTGAGCCAAACCGCTAGGGCGTTCACTTGAAAATTTTTGGTTTAAATAAGCGAGCATACCCACAGCTGCCTCGCAAGGTAATAGTGACACGTTGGACGGATGGAGAAACTGAGGCCCACGGAGGTGAAGGGACGTGTTCACGGTCAGGAAACACAGTAATAACTTTATATTTGTCTGTTGTTTGTAGTGCTCTGCACTTCACGGCGTCTCATTTAATAAAAACCTGAATCTCCAGACAGTCTTTTTCTAAACTAACAGTTTTATGGAGGTGTGATGTATATACCATAAGATTCACTTAATTTAAGTGCACATTCGATTATTTTTAGTATATTTACAGAGTTGCGCAGCCATCATCACAATTTAATTTTAGAGTATTCCTATTGGGCAAGAAAGAAATCTTGTGTCCATTTATTTATTAGTCCCTCCCCATTCTAGGCAAGCACTAAATCCTACCTTTTTAAAAATCATTATTCCAGTTTTATAGAGAATGACCTGACAGAGACAAGTTAAGTAACTTGTCCAAGATCTCACAGCTAATAAATGATAAAGAACAGGGTTAGCCCGGCCGGCGTGGCTCAGTGGTTGAGCATCGACCTATGAACCAGGAGGTCAGGGTTCGATTCCCAGTCAGGGCACATGCCCGGGTTTCGGGCTGGATCCCCAGTGTGGGACGTGCAGGAGGCAGCCGATCAATGATTCTCTCTCATCAATGATGTTTCTATCTCCCACTCCCTCTCCCTTCCTCTCTGAAATCAATAAAAAATAAATATATATAAAAGAACAGGGTTAGATACTAAATGATGTGCCTTTCCCTCACCTTTATGTTTTGTTTTCCTTACCCATTCTCAACCCATGGTCTCTTGCCTCTCCTCCCGCCCAGAATGCCGACGGGTTTCCCTGAGTTGAGAGAAACAGTATGGCACCCTCCGTCCCTGGAAAGTGTTTCCTGTCACCAGATCCCCTGGGAGGTGCCATGCCAAGTTGGCCTTGGTGCGGGTTAACGGCCTTTGCCTTCCCTCTCCCCAGGCAGACTGGGGGTGGGCCCAGGCGCTGTTCTGGCCTGGCCTCTCTTCCCCCAGCTGGGGTGGAGATGGTGGCCGAGATGACACCTGGCAGGTGGATGCTGGGAGGGTGAAATGGGTAACTGCCCTCGGCCCACTGCCGGGGCAGACACTCCCTGCAATGTGGCTCCTGCCCGACTGACTTCCCTCTCAGCACCGGAGATGCTGGCAGAGGGTGGAGGGGATCCTGCTGGCAGCCACGTTCTCCTCAGCTTCCCAGGACGTGTCAGCAGCAAACACGTCCTCCCATCAGCAAGCTGGTCAAGGGATGGGCACGGGGCGCACATTAGTCCCCAGAGGTGCTCCTTCCTGCTCTCAGGTACCAGACATGTGACCAGAGAGGAAGAGAGGGTGGGCTCTGGAGGCTCTGGCTCTGGGTCTATTTCCCGCCTGGCCCTAAGGACCTACACTTCCTACGGCACCAACTCAGGTTCCGGTCCCGAGTCCTATCTTCCCAATACTAGTCACCACTGAGGTTTGTGTGTGTTTTTCTGATTACGCTGGGGGGAGATTGCTTTCTGGAGAAGAGAGGGTGCAGGAGTTGAGACTTACAGAGATATAAAGAATGGTTGAGTTTTCTTTTTTCTTTTTTTCTTCTAAAGATATCTTTCTTGATTTTAGAAAGGAAGGGAGAGGGAGAGAGAGATAGAAACATCATTGACGAGAGAGAATCACTGATCAGCTGCCTCCTGCACGCCCCACACTGGGGATCCAGCCCGCAACCCGGGCCTGTGCCCTGACTGAACCGTGACCTCCTGGTTCATAGGGTCAACGCTCAATCACTGAGCCACACCGGCCGGGGGAGTTTCCCCAGCAAATATTTATTAACGTTCTGGTTGAATTTTCTTGTTTCCTTTAAAGATCCTGGCCTTCTCCGGTAGCTCAGCTGGTTAGAGGGTTGTCCAGATACTTGAGGTTTCAGGTTCAATCCCAGGTCAGCACATACAAGAATCAACCAATGACTGCATAAGTGGGACAGCAAATCTCAATTTCTCTCTCTCTCTCTCTCTCTCTCTCTCTCTCTCTCTCTCTCTCTCTTTCTCTTTCTCTCTTTATTTCTCTCTCTTCCTTCCTCTCCCTCAAATCAATAAATAAAAGTTAAAAAAAAAGAAAAAGAAAGAGAAAAGATCCTAATGAGGCCACCTGGGAAAAGAGACAAACGGAGAAGAAAGGGGGGAGCTCCTAGCTCAGCCCTGCTGCCCACCTGGTGCCCTCTGGCTGCCAGTGTCCTGGGAGGGGCTCCTTGGGTTCCCCTGCTCCCACTCGGGTAGATTTTCCCACCCCGCTTCAGCTCCGGTGTCTGAGGGTCCTCAGCGGCCACAACCTGGTGCTGGGTGTCCGCGGTAGGGAAGCACAGAAATGCAGGCTGGGCTTTCTAGGGCTTTCTGTGGTTCTGGGGGCAAGGGCCAGGCCTGGTGTGGGGCGGGAGCCCTGCTGTGGCTGGAGATGCACGGCCTCCCCCACGTGTCCTGCAGCATCAGGAGCTGGGAGTGACGATGGCCGGGCCGCCCGCCACAGAGCCCGCCCCAGAGCCTGCCCCTTCCCCTTTCCTGCCCTGCCTCCACCTCACCTGCTGTCTGCTGTGTCCCCAGGAGCTCGAGAGATCAAGACCATGGACACGTTCACCAGGAACCAGGTGGGCCCTGGATGCAAGACCCCAGCAATGGTGCAGGTGAGCTGGGTCGGCCCTGGGGCAAGAGGGCTGTTGGTGAAGATGAGTTCGGCTTCTCTGTCCACCCGTGGTCCCGGCCCAAGAATGAGAACAGCAGTTCCTCTCTCGCTTCCCACGCCCCGAGCCTATCAACAGCCAAGTCTTTATCTGAACCGGGTTAATGGGTTTACCCAGAAAATACCCTTTGAAAGCCAGGAAGGGTTTTCAGTTGGACTCTGAGCTGTATTTCCCTCCTTAATCCCGCCTCTGCCCTCTCGTGATTTAGTTTAACAGAGACAAGCGCTGGCCAAGTGGATTGCCACAGACGAGTCGGTGAACTTACCTTTTTTTTTCTGTTAATCCTCACCCAAGGATATTTTTCCATTGTTCTTTTAGAGAGAGTGAAAGAGAGAGGGAGAGACAGAGAGAAACATCGATGTGAGAGAAACACATCGATTGGTTGCCTCCTGCATGCACCCTGACCAGGGCCAGGGCTGGGGAGGAGACTGCAACCAAGGTATGTGCCCTTGATCAGAATCGAACCCAGGACCCTTTGGTCCGCAGGCTGATGCTCTAGGCACTGAGGCAGGGCATGCCGGACAAGCCCTGATTGGCCCTCCTCTCCAGTACCCCCTCCTCTCACCTGGGGCCTCCCCACTCCCCTTACTTTCTCCTTGTTTCTGTCTTAATAGACAAAAGGGGCAGTTAAGCCAAGACTTGAGATAAATCTGGTGGGACGAGCTAGTGGCCTAGATTCAGATCTAATGACACTTTGGTGGAATAGTGCTCTGTGCAAGCTTGTGCGCTAACCCTCTCCCCGCCTCAGAGTCCTTTGGAGAGAGCGAGGCCAGCGAGGGTGCTGGAGGGAGTGTGGCTGGGCGGTGAGGTCTGGCCTGGGGTCTCTGCTGAGCTCACCTCCCGCCCGCCCTGCCCGCAGAAAGGCCCCTTGGACCTGATTGAGACGGGCAAAGGGCTGAAGGTGCAGACGGACAAGCCCCACCTAGTGAGCCTGGGCAGCGGGCGGCTCAGCACAGCGATCACCCTGGTGCCGCTGGAGGAAGGTAAGTCAGGCCCCTCTGCCCGTACATCCCTGCCCTGGGGCCCAGGCATGTGCTGGAGCCCTTCTGCTATCTGCTGGCAGTAGTCAGCTCCCCCAAATGGGAGGCGGTGCCACCCCCCAGTTTGCTTCCCTGGCCTCTCCTCCCAGACGGCCTGCCCCCTCTGGTTGATAACCTGGCTCCATGACGAGGATTAGAGATCCCTTTAGACACAAGGAGGAGCGCGCTGAAACAGGAGAGCACAGTGCTCTTGGCAACCAGGATGGCCCAGAAGCGAGGGGCCCGCTCCCGGGCGGTGCCTGGCCTGGGAGCAGGTACCAGTGCAGAAGGGAGAGATGGAAGTAGGGGCAGAGCTCCCATGCAAGATAAGGCCCTGGCACAGCCCTGCACATCTCGGCGTCCTCTTCCCTCCTGGTTGCACTGGTTGCCTGGGTGATGCGACATTCCCCACATTCTGCAAATACCAGGCCTGGGGGCTCTGCCAGGGGAGGGTCTGCGCAGGCAGAAGCAGTGAGGGGAGAGGCCGCACTGGAGAGAGAGGGAGTGAGGGAGGGCAAGGGCTGCAGGTGGCAGAAGGAGGGAGAGAAGGAGAGAGGGAAACTCAGAAGAAAAGAGAGGGGAGGATGATGAAGGAGATGACCAGCTGGGCGGCGGGGGGGTGCCTAAGGAGGGTGTGCAGGAAAGAAGTGCCCTTCTCTGCTCGGCGTGGGGTCTGGATCCTGCTGTGCCCTCTGGGTCCCATCTTTGGTCCAGACTTTTCTCTGCCTGAGAAGAGCTCCTACCACAGACTTTCCCCCAGGCAAAGGGGCCCAAAGGGGCAGCGGGGCAGGGATCCATCCTGGAGTAGGAGGTGGAAGCCCATTTCCTTCACAGTCCTCCTTGCCCTGTCTGCCTCCTGGGGCTGGGCAAACCCTCTGACTCAGTTTGCCTCCTGTCTTTAGGGAGAACAGTGATCGGCTCTGCGGCCAAGGACATTGCCCTGCAGGGGCCAGGCCTGGCTCCCGAGCACTGCTACATAGAGAACCTGCGGGGCACCCTCACCCTCTACCCGTGCGGCAATGCCTGTGCCATTGACGGGCTCCCTGTCCGGCAGCCCACCCGGCTCACTCAGGGTAAGTGACACCTCCTAGCAGAGGGGGTCCTGGTTTCAAAGCTTGTGCGTGATAGGTGCAGGGGAAGCCTGCAGGGTGGTTGCCATGGTAACTGCCCTGTTGAAGGTGGGGTGTTCAGCTGCATCTGATGTGCCCGACCCAGACTCTGGCAGCCAGACTTGTCTTCATCCTGCTTTTCTTCTCTGGCCACCCTCATCCTTCCTCCCTCCGCCCTCGGGAGAGAAGCGAAGCCCGTTCCTGCGATCACAGGGCATGGGGAGCCTGGTGGTGGTCGCCAGTGGTTGTTAGGCGAGAGCCTTCGGAGCAGCGTGGGGGCACAATGGCACTGTCCCGGATGCCAGAGGGAGCTGTGCTCTGGAAAGCTGGAGAGGTGGGGAGAGGAGGACACCCCCCCTGACAGGGATGGGGAAGGGCGAAATCTGGGGACATGCCCACTCCTATTAAAAAACGTCGCCCTAGGCAGTCTGGCTTAGTGGATAGAGCATCAGCCTGCGACTCAAGGGTCCCAGGTTCGATTCCGGTCAAGGGCATGTACCTTGGTTGCGGACACATCCCCGGTAGGGAGTGTGCAGGAGGCAGCTGATCGATGTTTCTCTCTCATCGATGTTTCTAACTCTCTATCCCTCTCCCTTCCTCTCTGTAAAAAATCAAAAAAATATTTTTAAAAAAATGTCCCCTAGGCAGTCTGGCTTAGTGGATAGAGCATCAGCCTGCGGACTACAGGGTCCCAGGTTCGATTCCCATCAAGGGCACGTACTTCAGTTGCAGGCTCCAGCCCCAGTAGGGGCACATGCAGGAGGCAGCCATTCAACGTGTCTCTCTCTCATTGACGTTTCTCTCTGTCTCTCCGTCTCCCTTCCACTCTCTCTAAAAATCAATGAAAAAGTATCCTCAGCCCTAACCGGTTTGGCTCAGTGGATAGAGCGTCAGCCTGCGGACTCAAGGGTCCCAGATTCCATTCCGGTCAAGGGCATGCACCTTGGTTGCGGGCACATCCCCGGTAGGGAGTGTGCAGGAGGCAGCTGATCGATGTTTCTCTCTCATCGATGTTTCTAACTCTCTATCCCTCTCCTTTCCTCTCTGTAAAAAATCAATAAAATATATTTTAAAAAAAGAAAAAGAAAAAGTATCCTCAGGTGAGGATTAACAATAATACCAAAAAGAGAAAAAAAAATGTTGATAGTAGCTTTGGGGTCATGAATATGGTTAGCACCCTGCTTCCCAAAGCAATAGGCCATTCTTTGTGTGAGCTGGCTTTGGAAACTGGGCCCCAGTTACTATGGTGACCAGCAGACCAGGAAGGGGTTGGCCCAGGTGGCACTTGGACAGAACCAGTGTGTTTGCCTGGGCGTCAATGGAAGGGAATGAGAAAAGCAGGTGTGGATAGGGTAGAGGAGGGTTCGCAGGAGGCTGTGAGCTTCGGCTGACCTGGCTCTGAGCAGGACCGGTGTCCTGGAACCACTTTCTGGGGACTCTCCCCTCTGACCGGCTGGAAGCTCCTTTGCAGTGGAACCCCACTGTTCCCCTCTCTCCTCTGCTCCCACTCCTCAGGGTCTCTAAATGCTCCTCCCCTCACAGCTGACCCAGGAGACCCAACCTGGCCCTCCTCCCTTCTTCCTGCCCTTGGGAGTGTGTTGCGGGGACAGTGACTTCGGGAGGCAGGCCCAGCAGCAGCAGCAGGCAAAGCCTTGTCTCCTTCGGGGCTTCCGCTGTCTGACTCTGGATGAGAGGAGGAGCCCCATGAATTGGGACTTTGGCGGTGATGCCGTCTGATAGTCTTCTTCAAAGAGAGCATCTTCCCAAGACCTGGGTGCATGGAAGTGAGACCGAGCAGCAAGGGGAGGCAGGAGCAGAGCTCGGAGGAGGCGAGAGAAAGCCCAGCCCTTGCTCCCCAGCTCCCAACCCCTCACACTCATGGGCAAGAACATTCCCCTGTGTGGTGAGCAGGGTGGAGGAACGGAGGCCCCGTCTGGCCAGTGCCTCATGTAGTTTCCTGAGAGGAGGGAGGGCCTGGGCCAAGATGGAATTCTCAGGCATTTCCTGTGACCCCCATAACCCCCAACTCTAGTGTAGCCAAAAGCCTACCCTGCCAATTATATACCCTCCCACTCTCTTCTGACCCCAACCCCCTTCCCTTTTGCTCCCCCCATCCCTACAGCCTTCTTGTCCAGGCTTGCCTGTCCCAGGAGCTGGGCAGCCGGGGGAGGGGGGGGCAGAGGCACAAAGGAATGGGTGTTCTTCTCCCCAGCACCCCCTCCCCGGGCTCCAGGCGCTGAGGGTTTCCTTGTCTCATCTCTGGAGCAAGGCACCCAGCCCGCCCTGCCTGGCCCCACTCCGGACATTCTTGGGAGTGCGTTTCCCTGGAAACGGGGCGGCTCGGGGGTGGACATGTTCTCTGTGTGTCTGTGTAACTGGGGTGTGTTTATGTATCTCCGGATGTTTGTGGCTCTGGGCTTATGGAGCTCTGTGTTTGTGTCTTTCCTTGTGTTTATAGATGAGGGTGTTCAAGTGGGGAGCAGGAGTGAACTTGGGACTGATGGCACCAAAGTGTCCATGTGTGTGTTCCTATGTGTACGTGAGGACCCACTGCCACATGCCTATCTGGGTATATGTGCAAGAGGATCATTTTCCCTGTTTGTTCCCCGATCTAGCCTTGGTGAGGGTACCCTCATCTTTGAAAAAGAGAAGGCTACCCTAGAAATAACAAGGAGCCCGCTCTGGCTGGCCAGGCCTGAGGTGCATCATTCCGGGCACTGTGCCCAGCTATTTAGGGTGGCACACACCATGCCTGGCAGACACGGCAGGGACAGGCTCCCCCAGCAGCAGTGTGCCTGGGCCACGGCTGGGGGAGGTGAGCAGAAAGCAGATGCCAGCCTTTAGCCAGAGCTTCGGACATGGGAGCCTGGAGGGAGGAGCCAGGAAGATCCTGACTCCACTCCCATCCCCCGGGGAGTTGGGCACATCCTACACTGCCCTCTTCTCTACACAGCAGGAGGTGGAGCTGGGAATAGGACCAGGAAACGAGGAGGGATCTCCATCTGGGGCGAGGCTGCCCTACCCTGGGACCCAGGGCCAGGCCACATGAAAGGTCTGTGAGGAGACAGAGGAGGGGAGCCCCTCGGAAGCCACACACTCAGGGCCCCAGCCACTCCCAGCTTTGCTGCAGCCCAGCGGCGTCTCCCGGTCTCCTTCCCTCCCTACGGCCCTCACTGCTGGGTAGGGGCCTGTGTGAGGCCAGCATGGGCAGCGCCCTGGGACATGGCTGGGGAGCCACACTCCTGGGTTATCTCGCCGCCTCCCTCTGGGACCCAGGACACTGAGCCTTTTCTCTCCCAGCCAATGGTCAGTTATTCTGTGAAATGGGATTGAAGTCTCCAACTGATAAAGATCTTGACTCATGAAGCTCAAAGGAAGAAGAGAAAAAGCAAAGGCTGGGAGCTCCCCACTTCTTGTGCCTGCCGCCTCCCGCTTCCTCCCAGTGGCCGGGTCTGCCCCTCTGGCCATCACAGTTTCCAGACGGATGAGTCACTCTTCCTGAGGAGGTTTTTAAAGGCTTCCCTTTCTGTGCATCTGACCCTACATGGTCCTTCCTTCTTCCTTCAGAAGGGGAATCAGACACATGTGCACATGTGAGCGTGTGAGTGCATGCATGTGCGTGAGTGCGTGAGTGTAGTGTGTGTGTGAGTGTGAGTGCATGTGAGCATGTGAGTGTAGTGTGTGGGTGTGAGTGTGAGTGCATGTGAGTGCATATGAGTGTAGTGTGTGGGTGTGAGCGTAGTGTGTGTGTATGTGAGTGCATATGAGTGTAGTATGTGGGTGTGAGCGTAGTGTGTGTATATGCGAGTGTAGTGTGTGGGTGTGAGTGTAGTGTGTGCGTGTGTATGCGAGTGTAGTGTGTGAGTGTGAGCGTAGCGTGTGCATGTGAGCGTGTATGAGTGCGTGAGTATAGTGTGTGGGTGTGAGCGTAGTGTGTGTATGCGAGTGTAGTGTGTGAGTGTGCGCGTGTGAGCGTGAGTGATGTGGCAGTGGGCAGGGCTCAGCAGGTGGAAACACTGCTTGGTGATCCTCGGAGGAGGTGACCTTTGGTTTCAGTGTCTCCAGGGGCTGAGCGCGCAGCTAAGAGGCGGTGCGGGCGGAGTGTCTGCGTGGCGCCTGGGCCGGGGCAGGTGTGGGTGTGCATCTGAGAGCAAGGATGCGGGGCTGTGAGCCTGACATGGCGCGCGTCTGAGAGACAGTGGGTCCCACGAAATCATGTATCCAGAGGCAGGGTCTCTGGGACTCCGGCCGGAATCTCGACCTCCAGGGGCTCTCCGGGGGCGCCACGCCGGGGGCGGGGGGCTGCGGTTGGGAGCAGCCAGGGGGCGGGCGGGCTGGGAAGGGGCAGCGCCTGGGTCCGGCCCGGGCTGTGGGGTGAGCTGCTGCGAGGGTGGGAGCCGGGGCGGCAGAGGAAGGGGGCGCGGGGGCTGGGGACCTGGGCGCAGTGGCCGCTGGGCCCGCGGCTGCACCCTGGGCGCTCCGTCCAGGTCCTCTCGGTGCGTGGACCCGGTCCGCCCCGCCCGCATACCCCCACCCC